CGTGGGCAATCATGGCTCTCCACATCTTCTTATTCCTCGTGGCCCTTAGCAGCGTTTCTCACTTTATCAAGATTTTCACCGCTCGTTCCGGAATCCATTCGCACACACGTCAGGTCATTGGCCTGCTGCTTTTCCCAGTCTCTCATGCCCCCCGATACGCCCTGAGAAGATTAAGTTTTCCAAGCCCTCCTTTCTCATTAAGTGTCAAAGACATTTCAGTTGTCTCTTTCTAATTCTGAGTATAAGTTTTCTTTTTGTTATCAGTTTCATTAAAGCTTCCTCGCTGCTAACTGGCTACTTTCATAGAATTCTCAGTATCCTCCTGTAGAGTTACATTTTTGTTGTTTCCAGTTTCCTCTTCATCTGTAAGGAGATTGTCCAGCATTCACAGGTTTGCAAGATCATTAATATCACATGGCAATTCAGTGCACTTTCTTTCTTTCTAACGAAATTTTCCTGTTTCTTAATACTTTGCTTAGCTTTTGGAAGTCATGTTTCGCTAAACCGAGACGCGCTCGGATTTCGGTGCTGCATTTTCTATCAGATCAACAAAAAAATAGCTTTTTCTACTTGCAACCTTTAAAATATATCATGTCTATGTCGTGCAAATACCTCCTTAATCAGCAAAATAAAAAAAATGTACTGTTTATTAATGCAATTATTTTCCGGGCCAAAAAAAAAACCGGATTATGTCGCTGCCATTGTTTGATTACGAATGTCTTTTTATTCTTTCCGCTTTGTTTGTTGAACGTATTTTTAGCGCAATTGCCAATGCTTCTCGTCGAATAAAGCCGAACAAAAATCACACGGCTGATTCAAAAACGGTTTCACAACGATCGGTCGGAACGAAGAGAAACGGACGACACACAAGATGATTATGTTCGTGTCAGAAATTGATTCACAAATATTTCAATAACCGTTGGGGATTTTTTTTATTTTCGCTTTTTTTTTTTCTTTTTCGCTTTTGGAATTCACGACAGCAACAAAAAAAAAAGAAAAAATGCTTTTTTGGATTTTACCAAGAGAAAAAAAGATTCTGGCTTTTTTAACAAAACATACGCAATAATTGGATTCTGATATTACGATCAAACGGATATATGCAGAAGTCTTAGAATAGCTGGGGACATACGCACAAACAAACCTATATATATATATATATATATATATAATTTTTAGGAATTATTGTAAATATCGTTTTAATTAGAAAAGAGTTTGACGGTACAAACGCATACAAACACGATTTTGAATATATTTTCTGTTTATACGTTATTTTTATAGATACAAATATTTAAGTAAATGCACTGTATTTATAATAAACAGTATTAACAACATTTACTGGCCTGAATTTGACTTTGCTAGCCAGACGTTTCCTCTGTAGCTAAATAGTATCGCACGTCAGGCCAAATGACGTTTCCGGATTTCTATAAAATGTCTCGGACATTCAGGTCGTTAAATGTAGTCTTTTTTTTTTCATTTTCATATATATATATATATATATATATATATAAACAGGATATGTATGTATAATAATTAATTTTTTTTAATTTTTAATTCGATATTTTTTATTACTTCAGACGCAATTTGTAATGAATATCTGTTTTCTAATAGACACTCCTGTGTGTGTTGATTTCCATATCTAGGCTGTTTATATCTATCTCAAATATTGAGTACTCTCCTCCCATGAATATTACGAATTTTAAGCAATATTATAATAGATACATGGAGACACACACACACACACACACACACACACACACACACACACACACACACATATATATATATATATATATATATATATACTATTACAGGGTTGGTTCAGACGGAATAAAATTCCGATAAATAAAAAGAGTATTCTTAAAAGAATGCTCATTATAGAGTAGAGGAAATAATATATCTTCAAAATTATAACATATGCATGTTATAATTTTGAATAAATATTACACATACATGCACACACACACACACACACATATGTATATATATATATATATATATATATATATATATATATATGATGTAGAAATGAAAAAAGTTCGAAAAAGACCTAATAAGAATATTTATCATTATTATTATTATTATTATTATTATTATTATTATTATTGGACTATTTGAGAAAACTGAATGGTGATAAGAGAAAAGTTAAAAATCGAAATTTTCCTTCAGAAAAGAAACAGTCGTATCCGAAAATTCCGTTTTTTAACATTTTTCTCATCACTCTTTTGATCTGCCTGATGCCTTAATAATATATAATAAATATTCTTACTTTGATTTACTGTTATAACTCCTCCCCCACCCCGTCAGAGAGAGAAAGGGTCAAAAATAGTCTCATGAGAATTTCTGCTGCACATTCGTGTAAAAGAAACAATCAATGCAGGAACACACACACACACACAATCGACATAGAGAAATCCCTTCGTTAGGCATGAGCTGTACTTGTGAGCATATTCTTTTATATTTCTTTAAGGTTTCCAGGAATCATTTTAGTGAATCTATCAAAACTCCAACACAGAGCCTTGACCACAACTGGAATTACTGGAGTCTTCATGTGCCAACATTTTCAAATATCCACTTCAAGATCATTGTGTTTTTAAAACTCAGTAAATTTAAAAATGTTATTCCAAAATTCGCTTGAAGATGAAACAGAATTAATGCTTTTAATTTAATTATATAATTAAATTTGAAAATTTGAAGTTTTTAACTTAGGTTTTTGAAACATTGTAATTCCTGTGTAGCGAAGGAACCATATTTTTAAATCAGTTAATTTATAATATATATATATATATATATATATATATATATATATATATATATATATAACATGGATCATAACATTCGTCGAGTGATTAGTAGGGTTAATGCATCTTTAAAACTTAGCGAAGAAATTTCGCCATTTTATATCATTAACTATACTAATTTACTTTTTGAGTGAATGATTCATTGTAATATATATATATATATATGTGTGTGTGTGTGTGTGTGTAAATATATATTTAGTTGGATTGATATGAATTAGTGACCCTGGGTTTCGCTATTTGCGATCGTCAGACAAACTGATTAATTTATATATATATATATATATATATATATATATATATATATATATATATATATATATATATATATATATATATATATATATATATATATATATATATATATATATATATATATATATATATATATATATATATATATATATATATATATATATATATATATATATGAGGAGGAGACACGGTGGAGTAATGGATAGCGGCTTGGATTGAGGAATCGGAGACCCAAGTTCGAATCCATTACATTCACTTACGTGCTAATACCCTTGGGAAAGGTGTGAATCCTTTTCTTCTCTCCCTCCAGCTATGGATAAATAGCAGGACAGACTGGGTTCTATAGCCTTGGATGGCAACTGGTCTAGGAGAAGGACAACTCTGAATTCAAAACCTGCGGAGGGTCGCTTGGGGACCTTGAGGCACGTAGTGCATCAGGTCTCTGTATTCGGTCCTTCAAAAAGTGTGGATGGTCCTGCAAGAAACCTTCACCACTATAATCAAATCTCATGTGTCGTTGTCGGGCTGTCGGTTTCCTGGGAACTGATCTGCTTGACCCTCATACGTCGAATCCGACGGGAGAGTCAAGAGTGTATATATATATATATATATATATATATATTAAAAAAAAGAGATAAACCGCAAACGTTTTTGATTTTTTTTAAATATTATGCTTTATTTTCCATAATATACACACCTATACATATATATTCTCTCGTTGGAACTACTATAACCTCTTCCCTTTAGATAGATAGATAGATAGATAATGTGTGCCACTCCAACTTTTGTGTAGACGATTGTGTCCGTTATTTACACTATTTTTATGCGAACTATTGTCCTCATCTTTGTTGTTTTTATCTCCGTATTTGGCGAGTCTTGATCCTTTTAAATTCTTGACGCTACCATTTCTCCAGGTCTTTGTTGCTTTCTGTATTTACCTGATTTCGACCGTTATTTTGCTAAGTAATGTCTTCGTCTGTTCGAAGAGTTAATATTCCAGTTGTTATTCCTTTTCCTCACTGGCCGGGGAAAGGGCGTCCTGCTCTTTCAACTAGCCTTTTTCACCCTCCCGGAACTGACCGATATCTTGATTGATAAGGCCTAGTGGAACTGTTGTCCTCATCTTTATTGTTGCTATCACAGTGATAACAACAACAAAAAAAGGTTAGGACAATAGCCCGCATGTAAATAATGCAAATAAAAACTCCTGAAATTCAGACAAATTACATCAGTTATGAATTTAATATTAAAGTTTTATTTAATTGAAAAAGTGAAATCAATATTGAATTAATATTTATTCTCTATATTCTACATGATTTATGTCTAAGGGTAGAAATTTAAAATTTTATCTTGTTTATTTGTAGAAGTATTTAAAAATGAAACCTTGTCGTTTTAAAAATAACAGATTTCCTTTTTTTAAGAGGAAAACAAAAAAAATGCGATCTTTAAACAAAAAACTTTAATTCGCTAAGAAATCCACCAAAGATTGAACGTAAAAATTTTATCTTTTTCATTTTTAGAAGTATTTATAAATGAAAACTTGTCGTTATGAAAATAAAATATTTCCTTTTCTAAGAGGAAAACAAAAAATATGATCTGTAGTGAAAAAACTAATTCGCTAAGAAATCCACCAAAAACTGAATGTAAAAATATGTCCTTGATACTCGGTTTGAATTCATTCAAAAGTTGAATTAATTATTTTATTATAATATATTTATAAATAAATAAATTATAAATACCAGTTGAACCTACCAGTCGTTTCTTTTCACTAATATCCGTGGGAAAGACATAAATCTATTTTTGTGTCTTCTTTTCTTGTTGAAGTGAATAAAATGTGTAAATGAGAGAGCTCTTACTTAATCAAACCATCCTCTAATATCTTCCGTTTGAAAAAGCTGTTACACTCATTGCCAACCTCTGTAGATGCCAATCACTCACATGTCTACGGTTTACGGTCACATCACGTTGAAACACCGGTTCCGTACGTATCACCGAAGTTAAGCAACGTCGAGTTTGGTCAGTACCTAGATGGGTGACTGTTTGGAAATACTAGGTCTTGTAAACTTGGATGTGCGGGTGGTGTAATAGATAACAACTCGAAAATGATAATCGGAGAGCCGAGTTTCAATTTCAGTTGGGTTCATTATATTTATTTGCGCGCAAAAACCTTTGGGAAAGGTATGAATCCACCTTTTCTCCCCCAACTATGGGTTAATTAGGAGGATTTTTATTATTAAACTATTATTGCCACAAAAAAAATCTTATAATCTAAAAATATTGTCTAGCTTTAAATAAACTGTAAAGGGTTGATAAACCGTAAAAAATGAATCAATGAATGAAATACAGATTAGCTACGCACGTATGTCTTTTAGATTTATTTACATTCTCTGGAATATAAATGTATAGAAACTACCGTGTCCAGAAAGTGAGGGATAAGTTTATATATTGCTTGTCATATGGAATTGATCCCCCACTTTATATCTACACTATAATTTCTTTTAGGCATGTCTTTTAGGTCTATTTACATTCTCTGGAATATAAATATAAAAATACGGTGGCCAGAAAGTGAGGGATCAGTTTATATATTGCTTGTCATATAGAATTGATCCCCCACTTTATATCAATATTTCTTGTTTGTGTATCAAAATCTGATTATGCATGAACCACCTCTTCTCTCCTCCACCACAGCTATGATTTATTTAGTAAGATTTGTATAGCTAAACCATTATTTCCCTCCCACCCACAAAAAAATTCTTACAATATTATTGTGGTGTCCTCCCTCTAAAGAGTCTATGTTGGACTCTTCCGCCTACTATAAGATTAGTAGGAGAGAAGGTCTTGGGGGAAGAATCGAATATATTAAGATGTTGTGATCAAGTAAATAGTTAAAGAAATAACAAAACAAGTGTTGCAGATATATCATATATTAAACAAAAAGTACAACAGTAATTACACGACTAGCGAGTGGGCGTCGGTTGACCCAGCGTTCAATCTATTTGACTGTTACCCAAGGCCTTCTCTCCTACTAATCTTATAGTAGGCGGAAAAGTCCTATATAGACTCTTTAGAGGGAGGACATTACAACAAATATAAAAATATTTTCTGGCTTTAAATAACCTGCAAAAGGTTGATAAGCCGTAGAAAGCGAATCAATAAAAAAAATCCCATTTATGCGTAGTAAGACGGTTTTTTTTTTTAATATTTGTTGTGTTTTTCCCAAGTTGCCTTTTTCTCATTATTTTCTTGGTTCATTTCTTTTTATTTCCTTTCCTCTCTCTCTTTTCTGTCACCAGATTTCGGAACGCCATGGGCGTGGAATATGAGAGCCACCGAAAGACCCGATTTCGTCGGTTGCCGATTTGTCTGTTGGTCATCTGCCTGGTCGTCTCACCCATTGCCCTCATCCTCCTGTCCATCTCTTTTGCTACCGAGTACTGGCTTGTAATAACAGTTGACCGGAACCAATTAACTCGCTACCAGCTTCACATCACTTCCGACCTGACGGACATCGAACTGAGCCGAATTGCACATAGCCGAGCTGTTGGTATCTTCTGGGAATGCTATTACACGAACGCAACAAAATGTAAGTAAAGAGGAACCGAGATCGATTCCTACCATCGTTTTCATTCTTTCTGTCATACATTACATACATATCTGTTGGCGTTATATTTATTGCATTTTCCCAATTTTCGGATAAGCTTTGGACAGTTAATGCTCAATTGTCATATATAAGAAAAAATACAATAATAATATACAATAATCAAAGCCAGTTATGGAAACAAAAGAATGGATTAGTTTTAAAATGTCGACATAAAAACAAATTCAAATTCCCAGAATTTTACTTTATTAGCTACTATATTTCTCTAACTCTTCAAATGTCGAATGTATAACTAATTCTAATTTCTATATTTCCATTTTTACACCATACTAATTATATCTTATAATTGTTCTCTGTTCTAAGAACGCCCTTTTCATTTTATCACTTGCACACCTTTATCTATATATTTTAGTCTTTTTTTTTAATATAACATTGCATTTTTATGTATTTTTGTGTTTCTATAGTAATTATATTTTTTTTAATTTAATTTTACTTAATTTTAATATAAATTATCTAAATATAATTTATTTTTAATTTATTTAAAAATATCTTATTTTTAAATATAAGTTGTCTTTGGATGGGTATCTTAATTAGTAATTTGTATTTTTAAGTTTAAACTTATGTATATAATTTTTAAAAAAACCTTTTCATTCCTCTCTTAATTTCAAACTAACAGTTCATTCTCCATATAATCCTAATTTAATATATATATATATATATAATTTCAATTTGTGCCTTTTTAATATTTTCATTAAAAGTGAAAAGTGGGTGGCAGTGTGGGCCTTGACTGTGGAATTTAATCTGTTCCTTAATAAGTTGATGAAGTTATCAGAGGAATTTGGAAGATAAATTTTACGTTTCTATAAATTGTTCAGTTTTTGGGAATTGTTATTCTGTGCTTACTATGTTCCTTCTCCTAGTTACGGAAAATATTTAACACAAAATACCAATGAAAAGTCAAATTTATGGTGAAATTGTCCAAAGTTCATAGTATTTTTGTTGGTGTCCTTTTGGTAATCTGTACTCATTAGCAAGAACTCTATTAGTAACAACTAATGCACAAACTGGAAAATGTAATTAAAAATTAGACAGAACTTTTCAGTCGAATTTAATAAAACTTGTTTGCACCCACTCGCTTAATTAGGATTTCAATATATAATACTACTGACCATTAAATAAAAATAAACCGTACCATAGGTTATAAGCAAAATATTATGTGTGTGCATGCGTCGTGCGTGCATGAGTGTGGCGTGCGCGCGTGCGTGTGTGCACGGGAGTATATAATTTATATACATATTCAAACAACAAATAAACACGCTATAAGTCAAAGTAACTATAATTATTTCCTTAAAAATACAAAAGAATAACTTTACCATTTAAGCATTAGTTTATTAATAACAAAACACAGACATAAGTGTACATGTACCTGTGTACGCGCGTTTATATGTGTATATATGTGCACGTGTGTACACCTATATACGTACATGCATGAATGTGCGCGTGTGCATAGGCACATAAATTCAAATATTAATAAATACAAATGTAATAATAAATCTAGCCGCCGAAAATTAATACTTAAGATACCACATAACCAAATAAGAAAACGAAATAATAGCCAAGTGAAGACATACAAAAATGTTTATCATTTAAGTACTGATATCAATTATTTATGTAAAAAACGAAATACACGTTACGTAGCTCAAGAAATAACAAGAACACTCAAAAGTTAAAAACGACAAGATGTCTAGAAAAAAAAACGTAAAAAGCTATAAATGGTTACAAAGAAAGACAAAAATTAAGGAGTGTGTGTAAAGTGGAAAAAAACAAAACAAAACGAAAGGGAGAAATAATCACGACACCCTACACGTATGCACATCCGCGCAGGCGCCCGAACGCACATCTGTACACACGAGCGCATGGGTGCATGCGCGCAAACGTACACACGAACACAAACAATACGGAAAAACTTACACCAATGATAACTGCATAAAAAAAGAAAAGTCGATAAATATAAGCAGTCAATTGCTGATATCCCCTGAAGAGTGGACGGACGGTCCATCTACGAAACTCTGAAGTAATGAAGGTGAAGGTCATATCAGTCAGATAAGTGACAAACTTTTATTGATATATATATATATATATATATATATATATATATGTGTGTGTGTGTGTGTGTGTGTGTGTGTGTGTGTGTGTAATATTCTGTCTCAGGCATTAAACATAACTCACTGTTTAGTGTCTGTCATCATCCTGCTTCTTGGAGATTTATTTTGTCCTATATGATGTAATATGTGTGCGTGTGTGTGTGTGTGTGTATGTGTGTGTGTGCTTCTATGAATTGATTCGATCGGAATTCCTGAAATGACAACATATTTTCATTCACATATTCTTTACATGCCGTCTCCCTTTAGATCTTAATTCATCATGGCTGCCCTTTATAGCTCTTAAATGTTGTTTTTTTTATTATTATTATTCTCTAAAACCTTGTACTGCCATCCATTTACTCAAGCTCACTACCTAGATTATGCATTGCATTCCTCTGTCCCGCTTGTCTTTAATTTGTACTGTGAGGATCAGATTTTCCAAACCCGCTTTCCTTTCCTTATAATATGCCCTAGAAATTTCAACTGCTTCTTCCTGCTGTTAAGTATAAGTTTCATCTTTGTTTCCATTTTGCAGAACAACATTAAATATTGCATAAATCATAAACCCATATTCAGGAATTATAACAGTAAATAAACTCGCCTTATATTATAGTAGCAGCCATATCCAGCTGGTGAATCAGAAAAAGCGTTCAATTAGAATGGAGCAAAAACAGCATCGTTTAGATGTAATAGAGACTATCTTCTTTAATTACTTTAAAGTAGTTTTATTAAAAACATTTTAAATTAATTCAGTTACTGATATAACAGAATTAGTCTGGATTTATTCAATCGAAGTTAGCCAAGGACATGAAGGGGTAAAACAGGCAACATGAAGACCCACTTCAGACCACAATTGTTTTGGAGTTTTTGAAATTCAATTTGTCAGTGTGCTACCAGGAGTGAAAGAGAATACATTTATAAGACAATTGTTAAGTTTGATGAAAATTGGTTGAAATATCAACGAAAAATAAGAAAGAAACCAATAAACATTGTCATTTATCACCATATACACGTGTTTTCTCTATATGGGTTGACTCAATTATCAAATGTTAAACAATCAACTTATAGTTGGCTACAATTGAGTGAAGTTTTTATTAGATTGCTTGCAAATTGTGGGAGTTTTAGTTTAATATTTGTGTTGAAGTCGATTTGTGTTGAAATCGATTTTTCGTTTTCGCTAAACGCAGTGGCGTGGAAATAACATAAATTTGAGGTATCGTTGAGTTCGTTATGATGTAAATAACCTACATACCGAGTTTAATCAAAATCGAAGTAAAAAAAGTTGAATTTATCGATTTTTGATCGGCTTTATCGATTATTGATTTTTTTTAAATTATCGATTTTTTACGCTAAGAACCTATCTCTTACATAGTACAATGTATGCGCCAAGTTTGGTCAAAATCGGTTGGATGGATCGAGAGTATCACACTGACAGACAGATACATAGACAACCAGACATCCTCTGTTTCATATATATAGATATATACCCAGCCAAGGGAATAAAGCCACTAAGAATTTATTCGTCCACAAATTGGACGAATAAATAGCTTTATCTTCCTAGACCAAAACATAATATTAAATAAGCGACCTAAACCCATCCCCTCAAACTTTGTACTACATTAATAAAACATCGAAAACCGAAAAGAATAAGTAAATATAAAATGAAATATGAAAATAAAAAACAAGTAAAACAAATTAATCCAAATAAATGAATAAACAAGCCACTCCCGCCAAAATATCAGCCAGAATGGATTACCCACAATGCAACACTGACCCATATATATAAATAGTCGAGAAAAATCCAACACTCGCGGCCCGATGATTGCGTCTAGCATGAAACAGCCTGTCGCTTCTGAGTGTTGACTTCAATATTCACTTATATATATATATATATATATATATATACACAGATATATATATATATATATATATATATATATATATATATATATATATATATATATATACATACTTACAAACGCTCTGCATATATATACATACATACTGCAAACGCTCTTATATTGAATCTTCTTTTCCCCATAAATATATCCAATTGAAAATTAACACACACACACACACACACACACACACATATATATATATATATATATATATATATAATGAACTCTCTCGTCGGTTTCGACTTATGAGGATTTGACAATTTAACCAATTCATTCAGTTATGAATTTTGTGCGTTAATCTTAAGTGGCACTTGAGAATCGTTAGTGATTTACAAAGGTGGCCAAATATAGAGCAAGAGTGAGGATTATGGGCTGAGATCACTGTTAAGTGGGCTGACATTTTAGATCTTGCTCTCGCTTCTTGAAGATGATTCAGACAAGCAGATTGAAAATTGCTGTCCACTAAATCACTTTGATCTCTACTCTACCCGCTCCAAAGCTAAGCGCTCGAGGGTGTTATGTGGCATATTGACAGCTGACAAGTTGCTTTTCAGCTTGTCTTTGTATCTTTGCCATAGGCGTCCTACATCCGTGTAGCCCTGATCTAACTGGCTGTACATTAGGATCTTGGGTATCCTGTCATCAGACATTCTCAAGACATGATCAGTCCACCGTAACTGAGACTGTATGAGAAAAGTCTCAATTCCTCCAATATTACACCTGTTAAACAGGTCTACGTTAGATGTCCTATCTTGAAGCTTAACTCCACAGATTGCACGCAGACAGCTTTTATGGAAAACATCTAGCTGGCGTATATGGTACCTGTATGGAGTCCACGACTATGAGTCATACAAAAGGATGGCAAGTACAACAGCTCTGTAAAGCCGAATTTACGTATCTATTTGAATACTCAGCTCATCCCACAAGCGATTGCGAAGTT